TATCTGCAGCATGAAGTTGAATTATCAATTTCCATTCTGCAAGTCGCACAGTATCGTTATCATTTAGCAATTTATATTTTAAACATTGTAAATATGCAGTGTTCCGATTATATCGAATACGTTTTAAAATATGCACAGTGTCGTTTAAAAGATAGTATGCTAAGACATTTTTTTGATTAGAATATTGAAATGATTTTGATTTACTCAACAGTTATCTATTATTTACGCAACACCTGCAATTATGGTTTGCTGATTCTATTAAACATTCTATCAAAAATTTGTTGTAACTTTACAAACTGGAAAAACTTTTACCTGTTGTGGTCCACCAAAAAGATAAAGAAGAGTTATTCCATATGAAATCACTTAGATTTTAGAAAGTGCATCAGAGTACCACCTTAGATTTGCTTTAAATTTTGATCACCCACAAATTTTATGAAAAAAACACAATCCTGAAAAGTTCAGCTTGATTAGCTAAACCGTTCAAAAGTTGTGATCGAATCAATATTGACCAAAATAAAAAAAACTTGAATAAACTTTTTTGATTTTTGACAGACCAAAACTTTTTAAATAAAATAGGCAATTACCTGAAATTTTGTACAGTTATAATTTTTCACCTAAATAATCTTTAAATAAAAATTTTTTATTTTTGTGTACTTAGGGTAACCACCTTTGGTAAAAAGCAAAATTATGGATTAAAATTAGTTAAACACTTGCAGCAGCCTGTTAAAATATCACTTTTTTTTGAAAAATATGATAAATTACATTCACTTTGCAGGCATTGAAAATAGTGTAAACAGTTGAAATTAATTATAAAACTTTATATTGTGGAAGTTCTATATATCACCAAAAAAGACCTATACTCTATCTTATGACATAATTTTAGAATTTTGAGTGTGATGCTTTTTTATTTTTAAAAGATACCTAAAAAATAACGTAAATTATAATATATTGAAAAAAAAGAAGTATTAATACAAATACAAAACATAACTACACGAATTTTATTATCTCTGATCAAAATAACTCATAATATTGTCATAATAATTATTAGTATGATTATAGTCACAAGTATATCTATCTTTAATGAATGGAGCACTAGCTTGACATTTTACTTCGTCAAATAGACAAAAACTGACATGCTTATGCATCATTAGTCTTCTTTAAATTTATTTGCATGAACTTCTCATTAACATCTAGGTTTTCATTACAAATCTCAAGCACAAACCCTTTGAATTATTCATCATTCTAAAACATGCAATGTATTTACCGGGTTTAAAGTTTAAAGGATTTTTTTGTACCTAATTGACATTATTCAGCAAACAGGAATATTACACAGGGTTGCAAGAGATTCTCTGTAAAAAATATTTTTCTCTACCTGGTACAAAACTGCCATGCTTGGGACTGTGCCCATATCTTCATATATTGTTTATTGAGGTTAAAATGTCATCACTTGGTTATAAATGTCATCACTTGATAAAATATACTAACACCAATTAACACCTGTATAAACAGTTTGTGTGGTGCGAGAATTTAATTTGTAATTGCTGCTCGAAAAAAAGTTCTTTGAAAAATTCATAAAATTAAAACAGGTGTGTTGATTTAATTTTAAGTAAATAATTTAGTTAATAGAACAGTTGGAACATAGATGAAACATGCAGCTTCGACTATTTGTATTACAAATACATACTTTCATCAAATCTTTGTAATATATTAAATTGCCCTCAAAAAAAGCAGTGAAAAGCATGTTAATAATAAGAACATACAAAAAATGAGTGATTACTGTCACCGGGATGCAATACTAAATCCAACTTTGTGTTTAGAAACTCCAGATGAAGCTCCTTTAAATAAAATAATACTAAGCATTTTTGCTTATGAATTTTTACATTATTTATCATTCAGCAAAAAGTTAAATACACCTAGGTCATAGGGCTACAATCATATTGTGGGATAAATTATGTCTTTAATTTTTTTTGGCGATTGTCTATAAGTAGAACTTCCACAGTGAAAAGTTTGATAGTTTGTTTCAAATTGTTTACGCTATTTTCTATGCCTGCAAAGTGAATGTATTTTATCATATTTTTCAAAAAAAAATTACTTTGTAACAGGCTGCTGCAATTGTTCAACTAACTTTTAATGCATAATTTTGCTTTTTACCACATGTGGTTACCCTAAGCACACAAAATTAACAAAATATTTGCACTGCCTATCTGTAGGTATTGAACTGTAGCACATTAAAATTTTATTTTCAGGATTGTATTTTTTTCATAAAATTTGTAGGTGATCAAAGTTTGAAGCAAGTCTGAGTTGTTAACCCAGGTTACCAACTCAACCAAAGGTTACCAACAAAAAAAGGGGTATTAGTGCTAAAACTGTTTTTGTTTTTCTCGGATATTTTCTGCAATGCACCTGAAATTTTTTTTTTCTTTAACAAAGCTGCTTAATGCCTAATATAACTTTTCTCGCTCAGAATCTGTTTCATTATTTTAATATTATTAACTTCATTCTCCAGTTAAGAATTATATTTAATCTCTTGTTTAAAAAGACAGTTTAACTTGTAAAAGGCTCCAGTAAAATCTCCAGAATCTTCTAAAGTTATATATATTGAAAATTTAGTTACTGGTCTACAATCCTCATATAATATTAAAAATTTCATATTTCACATCCCAAGGTACTAATGAAATTACCCGTTTACGGAATAGTTGGCAATCTTCTGAACTGTCTAACTAATTTTCTGTACATGAGATCACAGGTGGTAAATTTAAACAATGCACAAAGTGTTTCTTTTCTAATCAAATTGTTAATGTATGGAATAGTTTACCAGTGTCCGTTTATCAGTGTCAGTGTACCATTGTCTTGGTGTCTGCATCGTCAGTCTCGGTGTTTATGAACCGTCTTGCTGTACTAATTTGTTCTGCTTGATTCAATTTTGTTTAAACTTTTTCAATCAATTGACACAATTTAATATTTCAGTAGAAAATCTCCAATATTTGATGCCTTCGGGTCCTTCTGTTGTTTACAAATAAATAAATAAATAAATAAATAAATAAGAAATATTTTTTTTCTTTTTCAACAAAATAAATTTTGTTTCCATAGTTTATTTATCATTAATTTAAAATTTTTTACAATTGAATTAAATTGAAGCGTCCATTTTTTAAAAATTTTTGATATCATCAGTAAACTAATTCTTTAAGAGTACATTAACCCTGTAACATTATTTGACTTGTTTTCTAGACACTAATGGAATACAAGACACTGTTACACTTTTAAAGATTGATGAAGAATGCATTGAAACAAAACTTGAAACATCACCTTTGACTTTTTTTTAATTCTGCATCTTTAAGCCAGTACTGACCACAAATTCGCTTATAATCTGTAAACACAAAGTTTGCATTTGGGAGTTTTTTATTCAATAACCGGCAACCCTATTTTATAAAGGCCTTGATTCAAAATAACATGCAACTTATACAAGGTAAAGATTTGTTGAACTAGTTTTTTTTTCAAGTTAAATTGATTGTCCAGAAAAGTGTTTGAGTATACAACATAGTTTATTTTGCTTATTTATGTAACAGCCTTATACCTTGACATTGTTTGATCATATCATTTTATCACAATTCATGAATCATTTTAAATAACTAATTTATTAGTAAAAGATTTTTTTTAAGAGAAAATTCTTTTTGAAAAAAGACATTTTACTTCAATCATTTTGTAATTGTCTTTTTAAGATAAACGTCACATAACACATCAAGTTTTCAGTCTTACTATTATAGCCTCTTATAAACTACTATTATAGCCTCTTATAAGCTTTTGTAGCATTTTTTCTTATATCATTTTTTATTCCAGCAAAAAAGCAATATAGTAAATTATTATCATCTTTGTTAGCAAAATATCTAGAAATGCATGCTAGCTTTTTGCATAACATACATACCAAGAATCGATAATGTATCAATTAAACCAATATTGATATTTGAAAAAGTTGACTAAGAAGTTTTTAAAAATATTTTGGCGTCTTACTGGAGTTCTAAAAGACCTTGATTTAAAAAAAAAAAAAAAGACTGGAAATACCATATAAAAATTTATCACAAAATCAAATATGTCCAATGCTATTTTAACTAAAACTAGGTTTAATAAGTATATTATTCTGAATTCTGAATTAGTTATTATTCTGAATAAGTTATTATTCTGAATTCGATTTATTTAACTCGTTTGTAGAGTTGTCTACAAACCAAGTCTTTTTATGAAGAAAAAAACAGGGTTTAAAGAATTATATTAAATTTTAAAAGTCTACAAAATTTGAGTCAATTTTATTAGATATGATGAAGTTGTTATCATAACTAGTTGTTGTCAAGGTATCTTCGGTAAAAATAAGAAACTATACGGGAGAAAGATATTATCTTTGTAACAAAAAGCAAAGAATCAAATTATAAATCATAAAAACGATGGTTAATGATTTACTAGTTGTTGGTTTTTGTAAATACAACACCATAATGCATTGCGCAAAATAATTATCAAAAAAAAAAGGCGAAATCTTATTAGATTTTCCGAGAAGCCAACACTTAGCGCTTTCCTTTTTTTGATATCTGATATTGATTTTTTCAATGATATTGAGTTGTTTGATTTCTAGTGAATATTAAAATAGCTAATATAGATTTGTTTTACATAATGTTTTAGATAATAGATTTGTTTAAGAGTTTTTTAAGTTCCTTTCAATTCCGAAATAAAAACATGAATTGAATACATAAAAGTTAATTTTGGTAGTATTATTTATGTTAACAGCATCAATAAACACACAATACAAAATTACCGTCTTAAATAATTAATAAACACTGGTGCTATGCAAACAATAAAAGACAACACAAAACCTCAAATATTATTGTGTGTCCGTGAGTGTGTGTGTGCGTGCGTGCGTGCGTGCGTGTTTCTGTGTGTGTGTGTATGTGTGTGCGTGTGTGCGTACCAAACAATAAGATAACAAAAATTGACTTTAAATTACTGAAAAAACTTACACCAGCAAGAACCGTACTTGGTACAACCAAAGCCAAAGAATATTCTAGAATGAGTTTTATTGAAGCGAAAATATTTAAACAGATTTTTGAAATTTTATATATTTTTATCTAAAATTAAAGTTATTTACCAAGATCGGTTTCTTTTGATTTGCTCGATTTATGATGTTTGATACCCTTCATAGCTTTTGAATTATTTTATGTTTTCTAACTTTTAAGTTGAAAATAAAATAAAAACAGTATTAGGTAAAAAAAAATTTGCATGTTAAGCATGTCATGACAAATTTTAAAAATATGAAATTGCATGGAATTGACGTTTTCATTCTGTCTAGTCAAATATTTTTTTTTGTGGAAAGTTTTGCTATTATTGCACAACCTAAGCGAATGTAGCTATTTATAGAATTACAAAATTTTACCGTGTGACGTTTTCTACATCACAAAGTTGATCGTGAGATTACTGTATATAGAAATATTATTCAAATTTGCTACAAACCAATGCATTAGAAGTGAAACTTTAAATTTTAGTTTTACTATATATACTTATTGCTAAAATAAATTTTTTTTAATTTTTTTTATATACTTATTGCTAAAATAAATTTGATAAAAAAAAAAAACGTTTATAAAAAGTTGATAAACAAAGCTAGAATCACGTGACCTACAAGAAATAACATTTTAGTAACATGATGTTATTATTTAAACGAAAATATTTAAAGAATTTTGTTAACGAATAAATCAAGAAGTTAACTAAACAATCGTACAAACACATTTTTAAAATAACTTCAAATTTGAATTTTGTAAGTTTACTAAAATTCTCCCTTCGTATCAACTTCTGATTTAATATTTTATATTAAATATAAGATAAAAAAATTTTATATTAAATAAAAGAAAGATAAAAATATCTTATATTAAATATAACAAAAAAATATCAAAATGTCTTGTAAAAATATTGTCCTTTTTCATATAGCAAACACTTAATATGCATATATTATACTATGTTATACTTATGCCATGTCATACAAAAACATTTTTTGTTTTGACCAGATCTGTCGTTGAAAATACTCCATTAACGAAATCAAATCGGTAGAAAGGTGAAGTGTTACAGTAATTTCACAAAAAATAAAGTTAGTTTTCTTAAAGAATCGAAACTTAAAAATAAACTTGTTTTATAAAAACATTTGTTTTGCAATATTTATGTAGCATCAGCCCCAAGGTGAGTGTGGGGGAGAGGTGCAGTCAGTGCGCCTTACCAGGCTCCATAAAATTTTAGGGACACATGAATAATTACTTTTTTTTAATTTTAAAAAAGTTTATTTTTGTATGTCATTTAGGTAGTTGATTATAAAACAAAATTTTTCAGTACTGCCAACTATTATAATCTGTACCATCTGAGTCTGCTTAGTTCAAACAGTGTTCTGACGTAAATCTTTTTGTCTTCAAAATAAATCGGTATTATAATAGAGACGTAGCGGTAAATAATAGTAGACGTAACGTTACTGAAAGAAAAGAAGACCATTCACCGCAATTTGAAAACTTGTTATTAGCTAATCTTCTCTTAATCTATGCTTGGCTTGGCGAGTTACCATATATGGTGACTCGCTAAATCAATGATGAAGAGTAGTAATATAAATAACTTTTTAATTAAGAGAGTCTAATATTAATGCAGTAAATATCAAGTTTTACTTTTTTTCTTTATCTTTATATTTCCTAAGCATTCTTCAATTCATCATCGCATCCTAGATTTTAGATAATTTTTTCAACAACGACTTATTGGTATAATATTCAGTTTTTAACTATTTTGTTTTTAACCTTTTTTTATATTCTCAAATGTTTTTTTAATTTATTACTTTTTTTGTTTATTAAGAAATTTTAAATCCTGATGTAGCTGTAGTGGGCTGAGGCAAATTTTAAAAAATTTAGCATGTTTTAAAATTTATATTTGAAAATAACATTTTATATTTTCAGAAGTTTATCAATTCAATAGTTTTAAGATTCTGGATACGAGAAATTTCTAAATAAAAATAAAAAAGAAACGCATCCGAAATGAAAGTATAGGAATTCAAAAACTTTTTAAATATTGATTCAAAACCGAAACCAAGTGCTAAAGAAAACTCTAAATTAAGTAGTAACATTGAATTCATCACAGCTACTGACGGATCCAGGGGGAGGGAGGGATGGAGTGTGTGTATCCCTCCTCTTTCTTCCTCTCCGCCCCCCGCATCCCCTACCCCCCCTACACACACAAAAATATATTTCAACATTAATCAAAAAACTCTAGGATCCATCACTTATCACGGCACAATATCCTTCTCAATCAAAAATAAATAATTTTATTAACAAAGAACTTTAAAATTGCCGAAAATAATCTTTTTTGAAATTTATAATAAGAAGTTTAGAAATATTAATGCAGAACAATGTACCCGAGGCTGAGTTTTTATTAAATCATTAATTTTAGTGGAATCGGAATATTACCAAATTTTGAAGAACTATTGATGTTATCCTTTTCATAGGAAAACGTACCCAGTTAATCATTTCAACTGGGACCCAACTGGGGAAAATGCTGGGACCCATCTGGGAATTCCAAATGGATCCTATTGCAATTTTATCAGTGGGATCCAACTGGGTCCCATATGGGGTTAGTCAGGATTTTTGACGGGAAATTCCGAATTGAACCCAGATATTTTTTTCATTTACTGCGGGTTTTATCAATTTTTTATAGTTTGTTTTTCACAGATTTTTTGTATCTCTGCGAAATAATATGATAATTTTTCGATTAAAAAGTTTCGCATTTTTTATATAAAATTAAAAAGTAGAGGTTATTCATATTATCTATATTAAATTCACTGTCAGGGCAATAAAATGTATTAGGCAAATGAATATTTGGTCTGATCAGGACTGTGGAGTCGGAGTCGGAGTTGCGGAGTTACAACATTTTAAGCGGAGTCGGAGTCGCTAAACAAAATTGCGACTCCGACTCCAGTAAAACTTCTCGGTATTGCACGTGCATGTATAAAACATTCAATTAACTTTATGTTCATACTAATCCTCAAAAAACGATTCATAAATTTGTCAAAAAAAAATTTTAACTTATCGCGTAATATTTTTTAAAGAATTCAAAGAATTTTTCGAAAATTTTGCTTTGGAGTTGGAGTCGGAGTTTAAGTCGGAGTCGGAGTCGGAGTCGGAGTCGGAGTTGTACTCAAAACATTTCAACAACTGGAGTTGGAGTCGGAGTCGTTACTTTTTTTTACAACTCCACACCCCTGGGTCTGACAAAAACGGATTTGAATTTCATAATATTTTTAAGCAATAAAAAACTAATGTTATACAATGATTTGATGCAAAACTGTTCTACGATAGTAATATTCTGTCACAGTAATTCTTTCATATCGCCACCATAATCGCATGACAAAATTCTGCTTTAAAGCTATCGTTTCGCTTCTTTAGTGTTTTAATCCACTTTTACATTAATTTTATAAATTAAAAATAAACATTTGAATAATTTAATAATTTATAGCATATATATTTACAAAGTATAGATAAAAATACTTATTGGTAATATTATTTAGGGCGTACTAAGCAGTGTGCCATACCATGCCATATTTTGCATATAACTAACAAACACTAGGCAAACAAAAACACACATACAAACCATAAGCTAACTCAATACAGTATATCAATCGATATACATGTTATAACTAAGATAACCGTTGCCAGATTGAAGTAGTGGCTCAGGGCGGGACAATTAACTGTTCTCATAGTTTGTTGTTATAAAAAAAACAAAAATAAAAAATAAAATAAACATAGCATAAATAATAAGATACAAAATTAAATACTGGAGAACTGAGGCCTCGATATGACACCATGAATAATGGTGTTTCAACTTCTTCAGTTGCCATCATGTAGTTTTAAAGTTTCTTCAGTTTTTCTTTTTAACAGGCATCCTGCATCTAAAACCTGCAGGGAATCTAAAACAATGTTATTTTACAGTAAATGTCACACTACTGTATATTTAGTTTTTAAAAAGTTTTTTATCATACATATTCATAAACTTTTAATGAAAATAATGTAAAGCAAACTATTCTTGATCTAAAAATATGTGCTATCATAATAACATTCACATTTCCTAGCTAATCACAATCTATCTTCTATTCACAGAATTTATCCATTCACAGAAGCCCAGGTCAATAATAGGAAAAACCTGTATATTTTGCAAATTCTATATATTTTTAATATACAGAAATTATTTTATTTATTTTATCCAACTAATAGTTTGAGATATTAAAACTCGGGGAAAGTAAAACTTTCCTAAACTTTCTGAAACAAAAATATTCAAAATAATGATTAAGTGTAAACTTACTAGATTTAGACGAACCATTTCATAGGAGATTTTACATAACTTTTATGTGTAAAAAACTAACATTTGTTGAAGTAATGTATTTTCTTTTCTTATTAATAAATCAACACAAATCAACTCTAAAAACAAAACATAGGTATTATTGAACCTCTTAAATAAATTTAATAAAGTTTTATACACAAAAAAAAAAAACATAAATAAAAAAATGTATTACCAAAAAAAATTTGATATCTTTTTTATGACTTTGTAAATAAACATATTTTATGAATTTGTAAATAAACATATTTTATATATGACTATATGACTATATGATACCATATAATAACACATATATATGACTATATGATTCCATATAATAACACAATAAAAATTGACTTACTATCGCAATTGAAAAATACAAAACATTTATGATTATTCAAACATTCAGTTTTTGCAATATTTAGTATCAAAACTATATTGTCAATTTTATATTGCACTTGAGTAGCATTTTAAGATTGTATATTTAACTTATTTCACAACATATTCTTAAAAAATGATATAACATCCTGTGATAATTAATTTAAAAACATCTTAAAACCTTAAAAATCAACGTTTCCCTCTTTTAGACTTAGCCAAATTGTTTCTTAAACACGTCTGAATATTGCTATCAAAGTATATACACTTTTATATTTTAAAGAATTTAAAAAATGTATATAATTAATAAATATATTCAAACAAAATATGTTAATTTTTTTATTATTACAGTCAAATAAAGTTAAACATAATAACTTTAAAGTTAAACATAATAACTTTTGTTATTAATTACTACTATTTACAAATAACTCACAATATAAATAACTTAAACATGTTTTCATTTAAAACCTTATATTATAACTTATAATATAAATTACAGTATTTATAATGTAAGTAATATATTATTAATTATATAAAATTTATGTATTTATAAATAATATGTAAAGTTTAGATAAG